TTTAATTGTCAGAAGAGATGTAGTGCTAGAAACACGGTAGATTGTGCGCCAGGGCAAAGAGTTCAGCTCGCGATAGTTGCTGACTTGGCAAAAATTGAAGCAGTAAGCTTATCATACCAGAATGCTTAAAACTTGCGTAATGTTCGAAATCTAATTAATACTGGTTACTTTTAAATGACGAAATTAAATTTTTAAAGACATTTTGGTGTAATCTTGCTTGAACTCATCTGGCTATTTGTTAAAATATTTAAAATTTATAATATAATATTAATAAATATTTATAATATTTATTTATAATATAATATAATTAAAAACGGTATAGCTTCTTTCTATTACTAAACGAACTGGTGGCAAGTTAAATCGAACGCGGTTTTGTAAAAATGTTGAGGAACAAGAGGGGCGAAAGCAGATTTAAAAAGACATTCATCATGACAAAGTGCTATATTCATGAATTTTCAAAGTTGAAATCTGAACATATCGTCAAGTTTCAAAATTTCGACTGCCTATATAATTTGCAAGTGCATGTCAAGGGACTTATTATCAACATACCTAACCCAAAGCATAGAACGCAACGATTCATTAAGTAATGTGATGTCCCGTTTATTTTTTTGGATTGAAAGTTACATCACTCCAGATTACCAAAGTGCTTGATAGTTTTGATAAGACAATGCATATAAAATCGTTTTTAATGAAGAGAAAGGTAAAACATTTGATAAAGCTTGCAAATCTCGTGCGATAGAACACGGCGTCGTCGGCAAAAAGCTTACAGTTCACATTGAAAGAGGAGGCGATATCATTAATGAAAAGTTTAAATAAATATTATAAAAATTATTATAAAAAGTATTACTGAAGTTATTATTAAAAATGTTATTAAAAATATTATTAAATATTATATTAAATGTTTTTGCATTCATTCTCTTCATATTTAAAAACATAATTACGCTCATAAACGACCATGACGCTCATAGACCAGACTGCGAAGTGGGCAGGGAAAGAAGAGTGCATGTTTACCTCGAAGGGAAGATTTATTGCCTGCGCCTGCAGGAATGTGTATCAACCAAAGGCCTGGTCGTGCTTTAATCTACGGAAGTTTCACCTACCTTTAGGCTTCTAAAGCATATATATAATACTAGAATAATAATTCAGAAATGTTTGGGGTAGTGATCAATGAAGAATAAATAGGTAAACCGACGTATATCGAGAAAATGCTAGAAAAGTCACACGCTATACGAACATCGGGGTGCATAATTTTATCATCCCTGATAACAGTTGAAATAAAAAGTTTACATAATTTATCTTAATGCCTGCACATTGCAAATAATTAGCCAGGACAGCATTCCAAATTTCAGACTTGTATCTTATTTATGAGGGGAGTTATTGCAGTTATAAATAGTTATAAAACTCCGTAAGCGACTATAGCGGCTGAGAACGTCCACGGGGCTCATAAGTATGAGCTGCTCTCCGAGCACTTCGTCTAAGCATGTTATTCGTGCTGCTAAAATTGCATCTACGCGAAATTTGTAGACATTTATTATCCTCTAGTTGTACATTCAAATGGCAATGAGACCTTGGCATTGCCTCACCCATCATTATTTGAAGTTCCCATTTACTCATAATATATATTTCAGTTAGTTGCTATTTTGAACTGAATTTTCAAAGTTATTTGCCCTCCACATCGATCAAAAATTGAATTGTTTGTTACTTCTTGGAGTTTTTATATGATGCATTATTCACCAGCACTTCTTATGACTAAATTCATGAACTGAAATTCAAATGTCGATTGAAAAGATTCATTAATTGTTTGTAATAAAAATATACTGAAATGTATAGGTTCTCCTGATATTAGGAAAGACGGTTTGGCTCGCAAATGATTTACCAATAAAATCTATCTAGCGACTCGGAATCAACTCTTCTCTGTATGGTAGACAGTCTAAGCCTAATCTGTACAAATTTTGCCTTCCATTACTTTGAATGTTCAAACTACTTGCGTAACTATGAAACGCTATTGTACGTAACTGTTCTTGCGTCAGGATAACTCACCAGAATCTATTTAATGTGGGGTTTGATCGTCGCTGGTCGTTATTTTGTCGAAAATTCTAGCACGTATCGGTTATACCGCCTCCCATAAAAAAATTTGTAGATAATTGCCCTAGTCTGCAACAAATTTCTCTCACATTCTTCGATTAAAACCAACATTTCACGATGCATTTGTGCGTCAGGTTAAGAGTAAAATTAAGCTGCAGACCATATATAAAACAGTAACATATATAACCATATGAATTTCTCGAAAAACCAATATAAACGATTCAGTGAATAATTGCAATACCAAAAATTTCATGAAATAAACTGCACCTATTATATTTGCATAAACTGAATCAATAATCTGACTAAGCAATTTCCATTAGACTCTACTGACCTCTGATCATATAAGCAATTTTCTCCATGCGAATTTGTAGATTGTTACTAAAACACTACGAAGAAAGCTTCCAATTTCCATATGCGAGTAAAAATTTAATGAAAACTGTCAAGAAATTATTAATATTTTCATTCCTAATAATAATATTTGCAGAGGTGGGCAGTAGCGCGCTACATGTAGCGGCCGCTACATTTTTAGTAGCGTTAGCGGTAGCGGCGCAACATTTAAGGCAATATGTAGCGGTAGCGGTAGCGCCCGCTACATATTTAGGTATCGATACGAGGTTTTGCCGCTACAGCGCTACCGCTACATTTATAGATAAAGCCTTTAGATTTTACTTATTAGTATTAAATATTATTTAATAACCATCATGATACATACATAATATAAATTACAGAATAAAACTGTACGAAAGATTTCGGTGTAATGTTGTCAACCTCAGCCTGTTACTAGTGTCAACATGTTAGTTGTTATACTTGTTAAGTTGTTACCAGTTACCACTTACAGGTATTTTTTCATGTTTCAGTTTGCTATTTTTTACACAGTTATTTTTATGTTTCACGTTCCCTACATGGATGTCTACTTTAATCTACCAATCTCAAAAATAATCCACATATAAATACAAATAAAAGACTGATTTATATATGTATATGTGGATAATTTTTTCGATTGGTAGATTAAAGTACACATCCATGTAGGGAGGGTAAAACATAAAAATAACTAACTTTTATTTACTGTATCTAACCCGTACTAGTTCGGTTAGGTTAATTGCAATAAAGTTGCATTGATATGTTTTGAAAATGTTTTATTATCATTAAATGTTTATGAGTAAATCCCAATATCAGAACAATAAATATATTTAGAGATTTCCAATAATTTTGGCCATTGTAGCGGCTAATGTAGCGGCGCTACATTTTACTGTAGCGGTAGTGGTAGCGCTCACTACAATCTAGTGAGTGTAGCGGTAGCGGTAGCGCCCGCTACATTTAGAGCATGTAGCGGTAGCGGTAGCGCCGCTACATTTCAAAGTAGCGCTGCCCAGCTATGAATATTTGTTGCAGATTAGGCCATTAGACCTGTCGACGATTCTTAACATCGCAGAATTATTATAGCTTGCTGCGGGTCTCGAACATGATACTCGCTGTACTCATCTCCACTATACTTAACCGCCCAACAATCTCGCTGATGTTGAGCAGAATTGTTGCAGTAAGCAGGGGTCGAACCAGCAAATCCCTGCTCAAATCTTGGTACTCTAAACTGTAACCACTGGTCACCCGGCCCTTGCATGGTGGATGATGTTATAACTCGAGATTAAATGGCTTTGGACAAGTTGTGGAAAATCGAATAACCCAAACATTATAGTGAATAATTAGGATCATATGGCTCGCGTAAAGTAATCGTCAAGCTCAAGTTTTGTTATTTTCCATGCTCTTTAAAATAGAACTTCGAACTATCATCAAATATTGTCTTTAAAAACGCATCTAGCATATGCTAAGTAAATATAGGTGAGTGAACAAAATTCAAAGTCGGATGCACGAGTGGGGGGCGCTGTCGTAGGCCACAAATTTTACTCTTAGATAAGCCCTGGAGCCAACTCCTGGCTTCACCGTGCATTAACTTTACTCAGCCTCAGAACTAGAAGCCACAGACTACGCTTGAACTCCGTAATCCAGACAGGCGCCATACTGCCGAAAGATAATAGCGCCGTAGGTTTTCAGCCACTGCTTAAGCATGCTCGTTCATAAGCAGGGAGTTCACCATCCGGCTGTACCTACTCCAGCCTAACCTCTTCTAGCCTAACCTATTCATGCTGTCTCGGCTCACAACCTCCTTGCAGACAATGGCTGCCTCTACCAGCACACTTTGTCCGCCTTTCTAACTTCTTGCAGCCAATGAGGTTAGGTTAGGTCCGCTTAGTTTTGTTTTGGGTGGAGAAAGGTTGCAGCTCGTATAGGTTAGGCCTGAAGTGGTTAGGCCAGATGAGGTTTGGCCAGATGCGATATGGCCATGTTTACCTTTGGCAAGCTTATTTTGTGGCTGCGGACATCCGGTGCTATGGCTTTGAGAACTTGACTTCATAGGACGTTAGGCACTCTAGCGTTCTTACCTATGGAAAGGAATATGAACTAAGTGTGAAGTATGGCAAAGCTGGCGTCCGGCATGCACCCCCTTTTGTTAGTTTCTACGTCACGCTTATGAAATAAAGCGGAGAAAAACCGTGGACTATTTTCCACCCGTTGAGCCACACGAACGTGTCATTGACTTTACGGAGAGAAGTCAAAAAGTACCAGTTTTACTCACGGTAATCAAAAAATCTGAATTTTCATGTATGAAAAGTTGGGAAATATTGCTCATACAGGAAAATTTATTGCTAAAATACATATATGTTATATTATCATTATAATAACTTATATCAATCATTTTATTTTAATTCTGTCGTCTATAATTCAGAAAAATAATCAGTCAAGTGACATAACTCGTCAAAATGTTAATATGTAGCAATATTGATTTTTTTTAATCAGTGAGACCAATTGAGTATGAGTTGAAAGAACGTAGATGTGCGGAACCGCAGTCCGCACTGAAAGCGCATCCATTTCATAGTTAGTCATGTTTAGTTGCGGTAGAATCAGTCTTGCTTGCTTTATTTGCTATCCTAAATTTTAATTGAGAAATAGGCAGTTATTGCTATCTCACCATTTTTGTCTTTGAAATCTGTGGTCATTCCTATTGAGGTATGTTATCTGAAGTTAGACAATACATTGAATAAAATTAGATTTGCTCAATTAATCAAATTAATGAAGCAAGGTTCACCGTTCAACGGTTCAAGCACTTATCAAGGGGAGCGCTGCCGTATCCCAAAAATTTGACTCTTAAATCAGCCCAAGAGCCAATGCCAACCCAACCCTCTACATGCAATAGAAATATTCAGCCTAACACCTATGCAGCTGTTCTTACTTGCCTCATCTCGCCACACCAGCTTGAAAAAAGCAATGATTCAGCCCACAAGCTGATACTCCAAACGGATTATGCCCAAGCAGCCCAATAGCTCCTAGTCCTACACCAATGATTTAAGCCCATACCATCACTTCTTACAAATGTCGTAAGCCACAGGGTCCGCAGACCGCACCAGACTGCCGTAAGTGGGAACGGCCCTGCACTGAGTGCACTGGACTGTCGCCATAGTGGCAAACCACAGCTTTTTTAGAATCGGTTCATTTTCAATTTCCTTATTTACCAAAGATTTAAATCAATTCCTTATGTATGATACTGCTGGTATCCAGGATACTTTACTGGTCTACTTATAGTTATAGGACTCACAAATGAACTTGAGGGCTAGTCTGGAAAAGTCCTATTTTTGTCTGAAATATCGCGGCTCTAATATCATATAATTTCAGTAGGTATGAAATCTCGTGGCTCGAATGTCATAAATTTTTGTTTGATTAAAAAATCGCGGTTTGCACTTCGCAAAAATGTCATTTCATAAAATTTTCAACTTCTGCAATCCGCATTGCTTTACCGTTTCCACCAAAAATATCTTGCAGAAAAAACATAAACATCGTAATGTAAACAAATAAACAAAACGTTTGTTGAAGATCGCGCATAGTTGCGGTCATGTCAAAGCGATCAGACTGTATATTAACACGTGCTGAACTTACAGTAGAGACAATCAGCTTGAAAGCATCCCCATCAACCAATCACAGCTTGAAAGCATCCCCATCAACCAATCACAGCTTGAAAGCATCCCCATCAACCAATCACAGCTAGAAAGCAGATAATATTACAATTCCAGTAACCAATCTCAGCTGGAAAGTTGGAAGGGGCTAAAATCACAATCCCATCAACCAATCACAGCTGGAAAGTGATAGGTTATGTATATAATATAATGGAGTAAATGGACTGAAAGTGGAAAGTTCCTGGCCTTTCCAAGGTTTCAGGTCCTGCTTTCCAATATGCTATGTGTACTAGTTAATTTAATATCCCTCTAGAATTCCACACTGCAGTTGAGGGAGAGTCTAAAAAACTCTCTGCTTTGCCACTATGACTGTCGCATCACCTTACCCACTTCGCAGGTGTAACTAAGCCCAGCCCTGATGCTCACCAGCATCTTCTTTCTCCACACTTACCCCCTTCTCTCCACCTTTCCGCGAAAGGGTTAGGTTAGGTTTGGTTAGAATTCTTCCGCAAGCTGGTACCGAAAGGAGGGGGAGCAGGGGGTAAGCATGGAGGTTTAGCTTCCAGAAGAACGGACAGGCTGGAAGGTAGCAGTGTACTGATAGCACTGTGGTGCAGAACATTCTTTATCAAAAGTGGGGAAGGGGCTAGGCTGCATGGAATAGAAATATGTTGGGGTTTAGCGTGTGGGTTACGACCATTGTATTTGCGGCCTGCAGCTCATTGGCTCACTGGTTTACATCCATGAAGGGGTTTGGTCCCTGTGGCTTTCAGCATGTAATCATGTTGGCTAATTTGCTCTGCAGCATGCTTGCGCATGGGGTGAAGTATGAAAATTATGCTGGTATTGGGCAAGGCTGGGCTATTTCAGTCGTCCCTTATCAAGCATCAAGGTTGCAGTTGATAAGGTCAACGGTAGCTTGTTAGGGTATGATGGTCGATGGATATCCCATCTTGCTTTCATCAGTTTCATCTTCATGGTTGAAAATTCATTAGTGGATAAACATTTGCTGTGATTATATCAGTAGTATATAAATTATTATATATAATCACAGCAAATTATTATTATTATAATATTATTAGTATATATAGTAGTATATAAATTATTATTTTATATTGCAGATGCAGATTGTATTTTATTTTATGCATATCTACAAAGTAAAGGTCAGTTGCACAATTTTCTAAATTTTGCTGTAGCCTGTATATCATCCCAAGGTCACAAGGTGCAGAGTTTGCAAGCTGCATCACCAAGATATTGATTTAGCCCAAAGTGGCACCAGCCATTTTCAAGATGCTTTGCCTGGTGGTTTTCAATAAGAAAATGCTGCTAACAACTTTGATAGTAAATCCCTTACTCTCCACGGAGCACGGACTGCAACACAAACACTTGCACTCATCGCAAGTCGCAACTGATTTCCGGAGGTGTTGAATTCCAGAGGGGTAGGTTACCGTAGGTATATATTAACTGGTAAACATAGCAAATCGGAAAGCAGGACCCAAAAATCTGGAATGTCCAGCACACTTCCACTTTCAGTCCATCATCATCATCACTGATGAGTCTCTGCAAGATGCCACAGTTGTTTCATTGAAAAAACAGCGCTTGCATCATCACAGTAACAAGAATCCAATCAACGCTTTGGACACGTGTCCAACGTAACAGTCACAAGAACTCAGTCAAGAAGAATCCAATCAACGCTTGAATGCGTCCAACGTACTGTCACAGGGATCCAATCATTGCTAGAATGTGTGCAACGTCACAGCCACTGGAATCCAATCAGTGATAGAAAGCTAGTAGGGACCGCCTCAAATGCACTAAATGTTAACGCACTGATGCTAACTTAATGCGTAATGCTACAATTCTTATTTCAAGAGCGTAAAACAATAGTGTAGTTATTTCATTATTGATGGAAATTGCAAAGAATAACATCTTCACTATGTACACTCACTCACAAATACATGAAAAACTGCCTATGATTCAATCCACGAATACAAAACTGACAACCGATGCAATCAGCTGAGACATACAATCTCCTTTTGTCTGTATGGAATTCTGTATAGGTAATATATTATCTTGTTTACAAAACAAAATGTATCGAAAAATTTACCACCTTACACCTTCCACCGAAGTGACAATTGATACTCTTACACTGAGCTCGTCAGAAACTGCGGACACCCGGACAGCTGCATTTCCTTTAACTCGCTTGCGTGTGGTTCAAAAACCGATAAGTTTGCGACTCTTCCCTCCAAATCATACACTAGTCGTGTATCCGTATCAACAAATTTTTGTAATGAATATGTTCCAAAATAAAAATAAAAATTACGCAAACTTTTGCAGAAAATTATCACGATTTCACCGGTACCAACAAAGTTCTCGAATCCACACGAAATGATGGGATAAACTGCTATGGCAACATTGTGTTGACTAAACATAAACTGCATATGGCAACACTGTGTTGACAGTTGACATTAGACAAGACGGTGTCAGACACCTTGTTTTGGTCTTGTAAAGTTCAATTTCATAATAAAAAATAAAATGTATAAAAAAAATTTTTTAAAGACCACGTTTTTCATGTGGACTCAAAAGTAGAAAATAATTTTTCTTTAGAAATAGTGGTTGAATTCAAAATTAAAATTAAGGCATGCCTAAATGAAGATGCGCCCCACGTTTTTCGTTTTGATGTAAAATATTTTAACTGAAATACAAAAGACCAAGAGAATGAAAGCAAACAGAGATCAGTAGCTGCCTAATTATTTATTTTTATTTTATATTTGAATTTTCTACTTTTGAGTCCACATGAAAAACGTGGTCTTTGAAAATTTTTGTTATACATTTTATTTTCTACTTTTCGTTTTTTAAGTATTTTATTTTCTCATTTTTAGTCCGTTGCTACACATGAAACACGTTGTTGCGAGCCAATTTACTTGACTTGATGTACGTATCGATGATACGAAGCGTATCATCGATGATACGATGATACGAAGCGTATCATCGATATACGCAGTCTAAACACGAATATCCTCTTGAGGATGACGTGCATTAAATTTTCCAACCCCTGCTTGTGAGTTCCTTTAGAGTTTATACACCTGGAAACATGCAACAAATTATTGATTATTGTATTGTTATTGGGAGCTGAGCTTCCCTAAAAGTTTCAGAGCGCTAGCTAATGGGAAAGTTGGTGAAATATCGATTGCAAGATTTGATCATCACAGACACGAAAGCGAGCTAAGAAAAACGATTTGATCCATATTTCACAGTGACATTTAAATGATAGAAAATTGTTTCAAAAATTAAACACCAATTGATACGCTTCTATATACGAATTTATTCATGTTTTTGCCCTATAATGTCGAATTTGTCTTAATAACTTCACTCCACTTCAAATCCTGAATGATTTTGTCTCCCATGGCAAGTTTTTGAACGTCTTGTGTCATTTAGAAAACGTTGGTTGTTTATAAGCAGTAATTATTTTATTTTATTGAACCCAAGAAAGTTTAGTCATCGAAATGACAACATCATTAAATTTAAAATATTAAGCTATATGAGTGATATCATCAATTATCAAAGAAGTTGTAAGAAAAAAATCTTTGTTTTGATGTAAAAGAATGTTTTTAATTTAAAAGAAATGCAATACTTGATTTTCAGAAATACAATGCAAAAATTAATGATCCCTATTAGAATTCAACAGGCGCGACTCATTCAGAATTAAATTGAAAAAGTTGGTACCTATTTGAAATTTATGATTTTACAGATTGCTTAATTGAACGCAGTGCAGAAATTCAAGATCACCTATGAGTATGAATTTAAGTCTCATGACTGAAGATCTCAAAATTTATTGTACTACCACATATGTTTGATACATAAGCTTTTTGTCCTTTTGATGAACAGAGTTTATTTAGGTTCTATTGACTGTAATAGGTAGAACGATGCGACATATTTGTGGCCATCCAACGATCGGTTGACGGCTTTGAATCTTGATACCACTGTACAAATATTGCGGTGGACACATCTTCCAGAAGTTTCAATGCAAAGATTCTTATTTAAAGGATAATAAATCGATTC